CCTCAAAAGTCTGTAGCCTTTCTATATACCAATAACAAGCAATCAGAGAAAGAGCACATGGAAACACTCCCCTTCGTCACAATAGACTCAAATAATAAAATGAAATATCTCGGAATAAAACGGACCAAAGACATTAAAGACCTCTACAATGAAATTTTTCAATCTTTAAAGAAAGAGATTGAGGACGACATCAGAAGATGGAAGAACCTCCCATGCTCATGGATTGGAAGAATTAATATTGTTAAAATGACCATGCTACCAAAAGTCATTTATAGATTCAATGCAATGCCAATCAAAATCCCCATGACATTTTTTGCAGAATTTGATAAAACCATCCTAAGATTCATGTGGAAGCACAAAAGGCCTCACATAACCAAAACAACCCTGAGCACTAAGAGCAATGCCGGGGGATTACTATACAAAAATATACCATAATTTAAACTGTATTACACAGCTATAGTCATAAAAACAATATGATACTGGCATAAAAATAGACCTGTAGATCAATGGAACAAAATTGAAGACCAAAATATGAGTACATTCAATTTCAGCCACCTGGTATCTGACAAAGGGGCCAAGAACATTCACTGGAAGAAAGACAGCATGTTCAGAAATGCTGCTGGCAAAACTGGATCTCCACCTGTAGAAGAATGAAAATAAACCTCTATCTTTTACATTGCACAAAAGTGAGTTCCAAATGGATCAAAGACCTCAGTGTAAAGCCTGAAACTGAAACTGTTAGAAGAAAACATTGGGAAAGGAAAAGAAAGAACCTGAAAGAGAAGAACAGTAGGAAACCTACAAGATACAGGTGTAGGTAAGGATTTTCTATACTGGACATCAATTGCTCAGGAAAAAAGGTCAAGAATCAACAAAAGGCCCTCATTAAACTAAAAAGCTTCTGTACATCAAAGGAGGCAACCAGGGAAGCAACAGAAAACCCACAGAATGGGAGAAAATCTTCACCAGTAACACATCTGACAGATTTAACATCCAGAATATATAACGAACTCAAAAAAACAGAATGAAGACAGGAAGTAACCCAATTAAAAGATGGGCTAAGGAGCTGAACAGAGAGTTCTCAAAAGAAGAAGTAAAGATGGCTATGAAGCATCTT